AAGAATGGAATAGGAGGTTGCCAATTTTGTGTACTTTATGGTTTGGTTTGGTTTGTTTAATGCTGCTATAGAGGAAATTGAAGATTACAGATTTTCAAAAGGTAATTCAATGGTACAATACATTACTTCACATGCAAAAGGTTTCAGGTTCCTCTGGTTATTCAGATAGTTACTGCTAGAAACATATATTGGGTCAGACAGTTCAGATTACTTCAGGTTTATATTTAGACGTACAAGCTTGCAAACACCTAGAAATCAATGGGAATACTTTTACAAAAAGTGGGAATAGGCGTATTTTTAATTATGTTCAATTAATTTATTTGAATAACTCTACTAAATTTACTGGACTAATTAGGTGTGGACATATGAAACAAACCTTTTATGGGAAGAATAAAGCCAAAAACTTCTGTGATTTTCAAACAATAAAATAGTTGAATTAATACTATTACTCTGTCATAAAGATACAATTTTAGTTCACCTCCATTTGTTCTTTTTCATTATTAGGGATTATTCATAAGATTCACTCAAACCTTGTTCTAATAGCAGCGTACAGTAGAAGTGCACAATGCAGTTTCGGAGGTAAGAACACACAGCCTTCAAATGCTAAAAGGAGAAGAGGGGTCTTTCCCATTCAGGAAGTGGAGGGAAGATTAATGTTAATAGAGGAAATAATACTGCTGGTTTATCAACTGTTTTGTGCAATAGTACAACATCAGAATAGTGTTTAAAATTTAACATACGCTAATAATACAGAATAACTTTACAGCACTTTAAAATTAGCCAGTTTATTACTGAATATTAAAGTTGTACAGCACTTTGGATTCAACAAAAACAAATTCTTTGAGCAGGCAGAGGTGCTCATCAGCAATGCCTTAAAACATCTGTGTCTTTTCCTGGGATCTCATGGCTGCCTTCCAGAGGCAGGTATGTATAGCACCACTACCTGTTCTTGAATGGGGAGAAGAATTAAAAATACAAATACAAAAGGTACAACTGTCCAGAATGCAGCAGCGTGCATAGTATTGGGTGTTCATAGGTTCACCCGTGTTACACCTCCATTGCATGAGCTGCACTAGCTCCCAGTTTCCTTCCAGGTGCAATTCAAGGTGCTGGTTATCACCTTTAAAGCCCTACATGGCACAGGACCCGGTTATTTGCAGGACCACTTTTGTCCTTCCCACTAGATCTCCCCGTCTCACTAGATCTGCCTGTCCCACTAGACTGGATAGGGCAGGTACGCTCCAGATCCCTTTACTGAAATCCTGCCACCTAGTGGGACCTCAGAAGTGTACCTTTTCCATGGCTGCCCCTACCTTATGGAACACCTTCCCCGCCACCGGCGATTTGGCAGGCTCCCACCCTTTTAGCTTTTCAGAAGGCCATCAAGACTTGGCTTTTTACCAAGGCACTGGGATAGGACAGGACGGAAGGAATGGAATGGAATGGAATGGAATGAGGGTAATTGGAGCTTGGTGCAGGGCATCCTAGAATCACTTGTATAGTGAGATGGGCAGCATGAAAAATAAATAAAATAAATCCTAAGGGGATGATTAAGGAACAGGGTTTTTGTTTTGGTTTGATCATTTTACTCTTTTAGTGTTTTATGGTTATGTTTTATAGTTACTGGCTTTATTGCTGTTGTGAGCTGCCCAGAGTTGTTTAAGATGGGCGGCCATACAAATTTTTTAAATAAATAAATACCAAATACACAGATGCACAGATACAACTCACTGGAGAAAAAAACATAAATTCCAATCACCCATCATCTACTAGTCAGGATCACAAATTGCCCTGGCTGGTTGGACTTATGAACACAACGGACTTACAAACAGCCTCTTGGAATGTAACCTGTTTGTAAATAGAGAACTATCTATATTGTAGTAATCCAAGTGAAAGGTAATTAAGGCATCAGTGATTGTGAGTAGAATCTGACAGTCCAGAAAAGGATACAATTGGTGTACAAGATGGATCTGTGCAAAAGATCTCCTAGCCATGGTTGCCACTTACTCTTCTAACAAGAACCATGAGTCCAGAAAGACTCACAAATTGTGCCCAGGTTCCATCTCAGGAAATACAATCCCATCTAGAACTAAAGTTGACAGGTCTCCAGACACAGCTGATCCACATGAACACAAAGCCACTCGGTCTTGCTGGGGTTAAGCCTGAGCCTGTTTCTCCCTATCCAGACCCTAACTGCCTTCAATGACCAGGACACACATATACAAAATCACTTGGTTGGCCAGGTGTTGAGATATCGAACCAGATACCATCAGTATACTGAAGATACCTGACCTTATGCTGCCAGATTATCTCCTCCAGCAGTCTCATGTAGATGTTAAATAGGAGAAGGGAGAACATTGAGCTCTGAAGAACCCTGCCAACACTGAGTAGAATCAGTCCAGGAGAAAGGAGGAGAACCATTGCAAAACAATGTTTCTATTTCCAAACCCTGAAATCAGTCCAGAAGGATAGCATGATAGCTATTATCAGAAGTCACCAAGAGTTCAAGGAGCACTAGGAGAATTGCACCATCTCATCCCAGCCCTATCAGAGATTTCTGAATAAAAGCAACACTGTTGGGATTTAAGATAATAGTTTAACTGCAGTAGATTACCTGTGTCTGAGACCTGCATTCTAAAACCAACAGTTTGAGTGAAAAAAAACAAGGAGAGAGAGGGTCAAGGATTAGAGCAGATGCAAAAATACCCAAAATCAAGTGTGTTGCACAGAGTAGAACTAAAAACAAATCTTCACATGACTAAATAAATGTTCTCTGCCAATTTTACCTTATTGGTTCCCCTTTCTGGGCTTTAGGTCTGATTCCCCAAATTCAGTCCCATAACATCTCTTTTCTCAAGTACCTGCTTCCCACAGTCAAAACTCATTTAGAATAAAGCAACTCCTAACTTCTTCTCCCCCTGAAACCCCCAGCAAATGGCTGTGTTTTGAGAGTACTTAAAAGATCACTAGTAAACTACTCAGAATTAAGAGTTCCCTTAATACATTTCACCATCTCACAAGAGAGAGCAGCAAAAGTCAAGTTACTGCAGCATCACAGTTCATGCTAACATGTCAAATAGATGATAACCACAAATTGATTTATTTAAACAATTGTAAAGAGCACTTTAATAACAAAGCTTTCTAGAAAATATTAAAATAATTATAAAAACAAAACTAAAAGTAGCAATTTTGTTAAATGCTTGTGAGCAGTTAAGACTGAGATATTCTCTTTAGTATATTAGTTCAAATGCACGATTTCCCTCATTTATAGCCTTAATCCAGCACGGTAAGAATTGGCAATTCGCTCTTGAATTGCTACTGACACATTACTTTCCTTCTGGAAGGAATAAATATAGCCTTACTAAATCTAGTAAACTAAAAATCAAAACTAGGAGGGGGCCTAAATTACACTGAATGCACACTGCATAAATGTGTGTTGTATAAATAATGCATTATTTTATATAACAGTCTGTCTGACAAACTGTAAATCAATACAACAAATTGCACCCATCAAATTCACTTACTGCCTCATTAATATTTTGACTCCTAATCCATCCACTTCTACATTTTCCTTCCTGTAAGCCTGTCAGAACACCATGTAGATTGCTAAAAACTGTACCTGGCATAACAAAATGCTTTCTATTTTTTTCTTTTCATTCTTCATCATCTTCCCTAAGTTACTAATACCTAAAAAGCAAATGTAAACACGTTAAATCTCATACAATACCACCTCATTATAACATTTTATGCTGTTAAGTTAGAAATGCTTTATCTAACTATAGAAAGCACTTTGTCTAACCTTCAGCAAAATGTATTGCCATTACAATTACAAATCCCTTCCTTGGGTGCGTAGGGATATCAATGTGAACATTATTATGTTAACTACAACACTGTTTTATCAGGTAGGCATGAGTACAAGTTGTTTCCTTAGGTGCCAAAAGGAATCTTATAAAGGCTTGATTCACATATTAAACCATGATATGTTTGCCATGGTTTACTGAACAAGACACAGCTCACTGAATTCACACAATAGAATTTATAAACCAACATGAGTGGATATATACAACATATTGTTAAAACCAAATGGACTGCATTCTGGTTTATAATGACATTATAGAACCAGACTACAGAATACCACAGTCTTCACACTCCTAATGTTTAAAGGGCTAGAAGATTTAAATCATCTACATATTAGCATTTGGCTTTTTCAAATTTAAATGATAAAAGTTTTTGAATTAAAAAAACCCAAGATTCATTTTTAAATAAATTATGTATTCCCTTTGTTGTCAGCTTCCATATTTTTTGTTAAATAGGCTGCAATGTTCTATAGCAATGTTTTTCAACTTTGGCAACTTTACGATGTGTGGCTAGGAAATTCTGAGAGTTAAAGTCCACACATCATAAAGTTGCCAGAGTTGAAAAACATTGTCCTATACTAACTTGATCCCTAGCCCACCTTCATGCCAGCCTTTATAGTTTGGAATGAGACATCAGAAATGCCCCAAATAAATCCCTGAATGCCCACTCAATATAACAGGCAAACTTAATCTCCAGACAGGTGAATTACCCTAAATCAGTGTTTCTCAAAGTTGGCAACTTTAAAATGCGTGGATTTCATCTCCCAGAATTCCCCAGCCAGCCATGCTGGGAGTTGAAGTCCACACATCTTAAAGTTGCCACCTTTGAGAAGCACCACCCTAAATGGACATTCGGTTCACTTTAATGGTTCTGCTGGCCTTTAGCTGCAGTCTTAGACCTAATTGCTTGGGAGTAAGCCCCACTTCATGAATTCCAACTTGGGTATGTATTGCCAGTTAGGATCTATTCCCATTATTTTCAACCACTCCAAAAAGTTTAAGTTTGCTCTTGGAACAAACACCTCCGCGTGAGAGAGGACAACAGCAGTAACTGCACCCGTGGCCCTCTACTGACTTTGCAGATTCGGAGAACGAGTTGCGCAGACTGAGTCAGTGTTCACCTTCCAAGGTGTGGGGAGGCGGTTCACGAAAGCTCCTCCCGCCTTGGCCGGTTCCAGGTGTCGTTGGCAGCTCCAACTCGACAGTGAGCGAATCGCGGCGACGTGGAGCATGGCGGAGTCTCAGCTGCTTTGCCTGGAGGATACTCACGTGAACGAACGGGTCAGCGAACATAATCCGCGATATTACTACAGCGAGGAGCAACGGCGGGCACTGGAGGTCCTTGCAGCCGACGGGGAGAAAGCATATAAGTCGCTGCTGAAGAAAGAGCAGCTGCCTGACTTTCTTTCCAGCCGGGAGTTGGCGGTCTTGCGGGGCGGCTGGCGTGCCTACGATGCCCACCTGGAGAGTGGCAAAACGGTCACCGGACCCTCGGGAAAACCCCTGTCGCTTTCTTACTGGCCCGAACGCTCCGACACGGAGATCCCCCCACTGGATATGGGGTGGACCCATAACTCTTTCTACCGGGGAGCCACGCGCCTGGCTCTGTACACGCACCCGCGCAAGGAAGACAAGGCGCCTCACGTCAAGCAAGTGGTGCGTGAAACGATCCAGCAAGCGAAGAAGGTGGGTAGTTCGCCTTCGCGCCTTTCAGATCTGAGGGCAGCCAGGGCCACCGAAGACCTCTGCTCTGTGACCTACATGGATGTATGAGCTAAGTTGCCCCCTGATTCCTCCAACCGAGCGGGGAATCTCTTCCTTTCCTCCACCGGCACAAACGCTGCCTCTTAAAACGTACTGGCTGGGTTCGTTGGCACCTCGCGGTGAATCGAAATGTCGTTTATTCAGTTTCAGCGTGTTGCGCCAACCCAGCCGTTGTGATTTATTCAGTGAAGTATAGCTGTATAAACTGTGGTGTACAGGAGTCTGTGCAGCAACCCATTGTGGGGCATGTGTAGAAAGTTTTATTTAGACCAGTGTTTCTCAACCTTGGCAACTTGAAGACATGTGGACTTCACCTCCCACATCTTCCAGAACTTCCCAGCCAGCCATGTTGGCTGGGGAATTCTGGGAGTTGAAGTCCACACTCTTCAAGTTGCCAAGGTTGAGAAACATTAATTTAGACTGACAAAATCATTTGAATGAATCTTGTCCCAGACCCTAGCCTTTTCTTGTCCACTAAAATTCCTTCTCTAATAAACCAGCACTTTATCTTTTGCTGCTTAAAACTAACCTAAGGACTGTTTAAAGAAGGGTCACTTAATTTGGAATGGGCTTAAAGATATGGCTTATCTTGTGAAAAAAACCAAATCTACAGAGCAAGCCCCAACATGTTCTTTAAAGTGATCTGTATTTTATAAATTTCAATTACACACTTTGCATTATCCCATGCAAGTTTCTCTCAGTATCAATATACACTGATCCTAAATTTACCTTTTAAAAAGTTAGGTCAATCATTTTAATGAATACAGTATCCAATCCATTGTCCTTATGCATTCAAACCAGAATGGTAATGACATTAAGAACTCAGAAATTGTGTCCAATATTTTTAATTTATTAAACCATGCTTTTATCCCTTTCTTCTGAAAGCTCAGGTTATTATATATTGCCCATAACAACTTCACAAGATAGAAATGATATCTTCCAAGAACATTTAAGTGAGATTTATCCCACCAAGTGAGAGCATCTGGCTGATTTTGTTTGGGCTCAGGAAATACTGTAAGCAGGATCAGGCCTGGTTAATACTTGGTTAATAAACCACTAAGAGATGTTAGGGCTTACTCACAATGGAGGAATGGTTGGTGAAGATGATGGAACTTGCAGAGATGGCTAAATTAACGCCCTTGATCAGAGAAAAGAATATCTACATTTATGGCTGACTGGAAACCCCTTACAGACTTGTTGCATGAAATGGAAAAAAAATGCACTTATGACTTGTGGTTTTGATGATTAGGGGAAAAAAAAAAGGATAATAGAAAAAAGTTAGTTTTTTTGTAATCATAGAGTAAGGAATAACTTTGTAATCATGCTTATATTTGCTGCAAAAAAAGTCGGAAGCTTCTATTTCTTCTTTCTTTCTGCATTTTGTTTTCTGTTCTTTCTTCTCTTTATTCTGTATTCGTTGTGTTAGTTTTTATGTTCTCTTTAAAACTTTTAATAACATTTTTTTAAAAAGATCTCAGGGCTGTAGGGTAGACTGGGAAGTTAGTAAACATTCTGGAAGAAGATAGAAGTTCTCCCTGAATCTAGTACTCCAGCACTTTACCATGATGGCTGTTCCTTTTAGGATTTTAAGCAAGATCTTGGCAATGTTTTAGTTAGGGTGACAAATCAAAAGTCACAAAGTATTAAAACAGCTTTTAAGTTCATTAGACTGCTTATTGACAAAGCAAGGTTTATGTAGAAACTATAAAGTCTGCATTAAACAGAGTTTCTAAGGGGATTATGTGTTAGGCCGTGCCAGGTGTTACAGAAGTACCAAGGGCTGTTTGAACAAAGACAAGGATTGCACAATGCATCCATGAGGTAGCCTAATGTATTTTGAGAACCAGGCAATATGCTACATCTTTGGCAGTGTGAGGTGTCTGAACCTAGAAATTGGGCAGTAAAACTTGGTTAAATTAATTATAGCTAAGTATGTCATGCAAAGTCAAAGAAATCATCTAATTTGCTTTTTTTTTTTTTTAAATCCAGCTATTCAGATCTGTTTCCACAATTTGAATGTGTATGTTTTAGATCATGTTATGCATGTAGTCAAGGACAGGCCTACTTTATTGTTAGTCCTTTCTTTGGCCATACTTTTAACCCTTCTTAAATGCTATGTTTAGACTTTTTTCAAGTTAATATACTCAGCCAGTAGTTGGGTTGCCAGTTATAGTAGTCATGAAAAGCATACCAGAGTTTATTTTGAATGGAGTAAAACTTAGAAATTTAAAGGCACGTATCATCTTGTATATGTGTTCAGGAAGCAGAAAAGACAGAAGGCATCGGAAACCAGTTACCTTTTACAATTCTCACCTTCCTTTATTATTGGCCATGCAAGCTGGAGCTGCTAGGAATATAATCCAGCAATATTTGAAGGGCTAAAATATGCCCAATCCTGGGATGACTTCTTTGAAAAGTATCTGACTACTTTAAGAATATCCTGCAGACTAATCCAGCCCACAGAGCTTTTTTGTAAATAGCTGTCCTAGATCATTCATTCTTCAGAACTATCTAAAACAATATAACTAGAACCTGAAATCTCGAGTTGTGTTTTTTTTAAGAATTCAATTTTAATTCTCATGAACCCATTTGAAAACTCTTGGTAGTCAGTTGATTGGTGTTATATTAATATACTATAAGAGAGATTAGAAGCACTATTTCTTAAAGTAGTAATGATAAAAAATGGCCATTGTACAGTTTGTGGGTTCTCCTGAATTCACAGTTTCTGCTTGAAGAACAGATGGCATCTGTAGCCAGAAGGGCTTTTGCACAACTTTGTCTTATGTTTGTCACAACTTTGTCAGTTGTGCCTGTTCAATCATCAAATCAAATCAAAGATCAGGAGGCTCTGCTTGCTGTCACTTACACCACAGTAACCTTCCAATTGGATTACTGTAATGTACTCTAAATGGGGCTGCCCTTGAGGACCATCCAGGAGCTACAATTTGTCCAGAATGCAGCGCCACAGGTGGTTATGGACATACCTTGTTATAATAGCACTACTTTGCAAGCTGCACTGGTTCCCAATAGACTCCCAGGTCAATTCAAGGTGGTGGTTATCATTTGTAAAGCTCTACATGGCACAGGACCAGGTTATTTGCAGGACCACTTGTTCCTTTTTTATTTATTTATTTTATTAAGAACTTTACATGAACTAAAAGACAAATCTAAAGAAAAACAAAGAAAAAAGAAAAAGGTACAAAAAAAGAACACTGAAGTTATGAAATATGAGTTCCGACCTTCTCTTCAACAGATAATTAGTCTTATAATCTTCTCTCCCTCTTAAACATTATACAAATCCCTTCAGCCTCTCACTTAGTCCACATCTTTTTTAATCCTCATACCCATAAATCATATCACTTTTTTTCTTCTTTTAGCAAAAAGTCCATATAAGGTTTCCAGTCTTTCAGAAACGTTTTTGTTGATTTATGCCCATCTCAGCGAATTCTGACGTTTTCACAATCCGTTCCTCCTCTGTGGGAAGCAGGGTTACCTGTTCCTGATGGTATCTGCTTATCCCACATGCTGTACTAGGATGGGCATGCTTCAGGTCTCCTACCTGAAGCAATGTCATTTGGCAGGGCCCAGGAAGGCCTTTTTTGTTGCAGTATTTGCCTTCTGGAATGATAATATACACATCCTGGAATACAGTTGGCTTTGATCCTTTTGGCCTTTAGAAAGGCTCTAAAATCCTGGTTGCTTCCCCAGGCATTGGAATCAAGTTTATTGAGTTTATGCCTGGATGGGTGTAACAGAAATGAGGGTTCCGACCACCTATTTTTGTTAATATTTTTAACTGTATAGAAATAGAAACTGTATTTCTTCTTTACTGATTGTATGCTGCCCAGAGTTGCAAGTTGGATAACCATATAAATTTACTAAATAAATATTACCTACATTTCGAACCTGCTCATCTTTAACCCTATATCCACACAACTGCTTTTTCGTGCTTCTCTCCCACCTCATAGCCAGGAGGAAATTAATTAATTAATTAACAAATGTATATAGCTGTTCATCTCACCGAACATGACTCTGGGCAGCATCAACTAACAATTAAAACAATGTCACAACCATTAAAACACTTAATAAATAAAAGCAAGATTGCAGGAGACCATTATGCTGGCTTTTGCTGCCCCTACAGTGCACTTTCGCTGCACACCTGGAAGAGGTCCATGCTGTACTTTTGTCCAGACAGCTTTAATGCACAACATTCTAAAGGCTGCAATTGGTGGTTTTCTCAACTAAAATCTCACTCCTGCCCATCCCTCACCATGTGAAAAGCCTCCTCCAATTACTATGCACAATACTCTTGCTTCATGCACTATTTTTTTCTTCTTTCCTATCATACCATTGACTGACTGAACTTTTTAAAAAGTATTCTCTGAAACTGTGGGTTGATGGTTGAGTGTTTCACCTGTTAACCACCAGGTTGCAGCAAAGCCTTATGTGTTTTTTATCTCTTGCTGCCATGTAGTGGTCATTTGGATTTGTGCAGCAACTGCTGAATAAGTGAATTATTGAAGACCTGGAGTTGGAAAAAAGGGGTTAACTGTAGGGGCTGATATAATCTGTAAACTTGCTGTAAACTTTTGATTTTATGGTTTTTTGGGGGGGGTTGTTTTATGGTTTATGATTTTATAGTTAATGGGTTTTATTGTTGTGAGCTGCCCAAAGTTGTGTTTAAGATGGGCAGCCATACAAATCTTTTAAACAAACAAACTCTTAAGTCTTAAGAACATTATATCAGGAGAGGAAGTCAGGAGGTAGGGCTTCTCTGGAAGCAGAAGCCACTGGAAAGGGAATTCCCTGCTGCATAGGCTACAGAAGCACAAGAGATGAGTTCTTTCAATTACACTTCCACTTACATGCATTAAGCCAAGGATAGGCTAGTCAGTTTCAAGCCTTTGTACTCTCTGGGTTGA